GTCTAATGTTTCAACTAATCATGGATCCCTTTAATAGAAAAAAAAACAAGCGTTTCTCAGAAAGTGCGTTTATAAAAAATTTACCATAAACATCCAAAAACTCAAATGATTGGACCGTTTTTAAATTACATTCAGTAAAAAATCATAATAATTATAAGTTACACACCGATAGACCCTTTTGGACAGTTCATGGCAGCAGGAAGTCCAAATTTGGTCCTGGGCCACCAGATTCCAGCATCAAACGCTTTGGGACAGAATCCATACACCACTGCAAAAAGAAGAGAGTGGTTTAAAACATAAATATTTAGATTTTTATGATAAAACTGTTTTGTTTCCACAACAAGATGCCACCTGTCCAGTTCACTGCATTGTGTATAAATCAGCAAGACGTTCCCTGTGATTTTGAAGGTTCCTTCCTTTAGAAAACAAAGCAGGACATGACAGGGAGCTGCAGTAACTTCAACAGGAACGTTTCTCAGGGCTTCACGGTCTTTAAGGATGTGTTTGGTGCCGGGCTGACAGATCCGTGTAAAAACCCGTCGAGGGTCGTCACACCTCAACAACCCGTGGAACAAAACCAAACAAACCACTTCTGTGTTTCATTCAGTCATCTTTCCTCCTCCTTTCTCGTACTTTTCACTTTTAATCCACTTGGTTTTAAAATAAAAACTTGGACAGTTTAGAGAAATAACCGTGTTAAAAGTCCGAACATGTTCCCGGACCGTTAACGGTTTTATGTCGGGTCAAAAAACAAGAACACTGACGTTTGTTTCTGTTTTCTATTCATCTTGACTGGATTGTGTGAGCGCAGTTCTGCTGCCAAGTCAGTCCAATGGTCAGACTCGCCTCTTCTGCTCGACTGGTTGGTGACAAAAGAGCCGGAGCGAGCCCGAATGCAGCACCGGCGGATGTGAGCGACAGTATTTGTTACATTTGGACACTTGGTCGATTCATCCGGGCTGACTTTGTGAACCCAAAACATTTGGAGGAACAACACATTCCACTTTGAAATTATTTGTGAGAAATTGTCAAGCATTTTCTTTCAGCACGTATTTGTTCCACAACCTCTGTGCCATTTCACAATATTTAAATCAAAATATTCAGCTCCTTCTGGACATTCCGGCTATGACTTTTGGTACATCCTCCAAAATGTTCATAATTTTAACTGTACTTTTTACCTTCTGTTCTAGTTCTGCCTTTTTTTTAATTCCTTTGTACTCATTTCAGACTCTTACGGCTTCTATTTTGCTGATGTTAGCATTTTTATGCTTTTTCAGCTATCATTCTGACCTTTTCTGCTATTCTTCTGCTAATTTAAAAAACTTTTTTGTGCTTCTTTCAGCTTCTTTATGCTATTTTAAGCTTTTTTAGCTAATAATTTCAACTGTTTTATGCTACTTCCAAGGTAATTTAAGCATTTTAAAAGCTAAATTCATCATTCTGTGATAATTTAAATTAACAAATGTGCTCGTTTTGTTTCTTTGTGCTGATTTTAGCTCCTAACAGCTTCTATTTAGCTGATTTTATCTTTTTTTCTGCTTTTTTAGCTGCCATTCTGATATTTTCTGTTGTTCTGCTAATTTCAACTCATTTAGCTTCTTTCAACTTCTTTTTTCTACTTTAGGCTTTTTTATGTCTTTCAGCTGCTTCTGCAATTTCCAGCTGTTTTCTGCCACCTTTTTTTTACAAATTCAGCTTGTTTTCAGCTAAATTCACCATTTTGTGCAAATTTCAGCTACTTTTTAAACTATTTTTCAGCTAGTTTCATCCATTCTATACATAGTATTTTTAGTTTTTAACTAACACTCCGTGTCACACCCTACACGTTCTCACTCATTTGAAACACGTTTAAAGAATTCATTTCCAACTATTTTAAATTACTACAATTTTATTCTTATAAATAAAAGAGGAAAAAGTAGCAGAAGAAGACAATGTTAAGTTTTTTTTTCCCCACTCACCCTCACAACCAGTGGGTGTCACTTCAGCAAACGGGATATCACATCGGTTACACTGTCGCCCGATGACTCCTCCTTTGCAGGGGCACTGTCCGGTGTCGGGGTGGCAGGATCGAGACGAGGAACCGACAGAATAACAATCACAGGGATAGCAGGTGTCCTCACCCGCCGGACGATAGTGGTTGTCCTGAGACAATATAAAAGGACCAAGATTAAAAAAGAGTTTAACTGTTTGGTAACATTCGTTTTTTTAAGCAGGTATGTGGAGAATTTATGAAGGCTAATACAACGACAAAAAAAGCTGGAATATAAATCAAAGAAAAAAAACAGAAGAATCATCAACTTATGACGCCGTCGTTTCACGAATCAATAAAAACGAATCATCGGTGTTGCTCTTAGCTTTTTATTTTCACTGGAAGAAAAAAAAGGTTCTCAAGGTTTGACAAACTAAAGCCTAAAGCATTAGTTTGATTTAAGCATCCAAGCTAATTTATGTTATTCTTGGCTGCCTTGGCTAATGAAAAATTTGCCTGTGGCTGTCAGTAAAAGATGCTGATTGGTCAAAAGAAAATGTGCCTCTGATACAAGCAGATACTGTAGTTTCACCTTAAAGCCCTGCTACTCTGCATTTTAGAGTTTCCTTTCAGAAAGGAACATTTTTGTAACACAAACCAAGTTTGATGGCAACAGGATCAATAAAAATTTAGTACAAATGGCTCCATTGTTGTTGTGGTTTTTAAGTTAAAACTGATGACAAAAAAAAATACAGGCTAAAATAAACCTTAYACTTTGAAGTTTTAAAAGAAATTACATAAGGGATCTTTTGTGAACAACAGGATACTAGAGATTTAAACAATTAATCACGTGTAATGTAACCCAGCCCCCCTCTTTTTTTTTTATTAATCTTTAGCTTAAAGAAACAGTGTGTAGGATTTGTTGTTTTCAGCGACATCTAGTGGTTGAGTGGTTGAATCATCCTCCCTGGTCCTCCCCCCACCCCCACCCCCGCTTCCAAACGCAAAGGAGTTGCTACGGTGTCTCTCAGGTGTCAAAAACCTTTGATAATTCCAACCGTGATGTCTACCAGCAGCTTCAGGGCTAGTGATGTTTCAAGTGGTAAGATTATGAGCTTTAATAAGTAAAATTATCCCAGCTACAATGACAGACAACAAATATTACATTTATAGTATTACAAATAAAACCGTTTTTGACGCCACCACCGCAGTTTGTCCTTCATGAGCCTTCGTAGACAAGATCACGGCTGCCTGTGTGGCGACCCGCGACCATGGAGATATAAACAGCTTTTTATAAGGTAAAAATAATAAAACAAGGTCTTTGTCTGCAATGATTAGACATGTTTTTTATTATTATCATTAGTGATTATCTCAATTTCGGCTAAAAGAATTGACAAAATCCTACACACTGTGCCTTTAAATTGTTACCCTGTGTTTATAAATGTGAGAAATCCACAACTTTTTGTTTTTTTTAATAAGATCACTGCTTCGTCAGTTGATCAATAAGATCAATCAACTTTAAATTAATTCTTTAATCGATAACTTGCATCACTAAAAGCTCTTCAATGTGAGAACTTGAGTGTGTATTTACCTTGCAGCGGCATTCTCCGGTGGTTTTGTTGCAGTCTTTGTGAAATCCTTTGCTCGTGTCGCAGTTGCAGGGTCCGCACACCAGACCGCCCCACCAACCATGAGGACACGGCTTCTCCACTCTGTCATCAAACACAACGACTCACTGAGGTTTGGCAAATAAACTCAACTCAGATACAATCAAAGTTTAATTTTTATTCATCTTTAAAATGAGTTTCCGGGACAGAGAATGGTTCTGGCACGTTACGGACTGGAATCGGATGAAAAATATCAACCCACCAGCTGGATATCGGTTCCATTTATCTTTAAATGTGAACTTTTGAGAGTCAACTTCCTTTGTACTTAAACATCCTGGCTGCTGTGTGATCTGATAACATCAGCATGAGGGCAGGTGAGACTAAACACCTGTAGGGGATCAGCCKAGCAGGGACGGGGAATCCCACATGGTGCTGACAGGAAGTGATGCGTGTCATAAGGGTTGGAGGGAAGTGACTCCTGATCAGGTGTGGCTAAATCACATCACTCTCTCATATCCAGMTCAGATTACCGAGTAATGTTACAAAAACAGCTCAAGAATAAGAAGATTGTGGAGTTTTGCTCGAAGCAAAGTCTGTTTTATCTTACTCGTTTTCACAGTACTGGCCGTAGAAGTTCTGGCCACAGTCGCAGGTGTATCCGTGGGAGGAGCTCGGCTTGCGCACACACGTGGAGACGTGCTTGCAGGGGTTGAGTTCACAAGCGTCCTTGCACTCCTTCCCGAAGTAACCTAGGCAGCGAGGGAGAAATGAGACTGGAAGAAGAAAAGGTGCGGGTGTGTGAAGTCGGTATTTTTTTATTACCCGGGTCGCAGACGCAGCTGTGCGCGCTCCAGTCGTCGCTGCAGTGGCTGTTCTCGGGGCAAATGTTGGAGTCGCAGGGGTCCTCCAGGCTGCAGCCGTCCTCCACGTGGATCTTCAAGCCCTGGGCCATGTTCACRTTGGCCACGTTGGTGGAGGTCTCGCCCATGCGCACGCCCTGATCGACAGCAACGATGCAGACGCTCAGAAGGTTCAGAAACAAACCACAGAGACACAGCTTGGCAGACTAGACCAGGGGTTCTTAATCTTTTTGACCTCGGGGCCCAATTTGTTGAACATAAAGTGGCACGAGGCCCAGTCACACATTACCAATCAAAATGATAATTATTCTAATCTAAATCTTGGTTTCATTTTTATTGTATTTGCATTATAACTAAACTATCATAACTAACACAACTAAATTAAATACACTTACAGTTTAAAAGTAAAACTCCTGTCAAATAATCACAAGACATGATTATGACAAATATTTTTATATTGTAACCTGCCCATAACAGTTATTTGAACAAATACAACAGTCAGTCAACAGACCACTCAGGCTTATCAAACTTTTACAACCAGAAGCTGCACTTCATTTTAGTGACAAACAATAACAG